AAAAAAAAAAAAAAAAATTAGCTGGGCATGATGGTGCACACCTGTAGTCCCTGCTTCTTGGGAGGCTTAGGTGAGAAGATTACTTGAGCCTAGGAGGTGGAGGCTGCAGTGAGCCATGGTCGTGCCACTGCACTTCAGCCTGTGTGACAGTGAAACCCTGTCTCAGTAAGAAAACAAAATTAAATTGGCCGGATATGGTGGCTCATGCCTGTAATCCCAGCACTTTGGGAGGCCAAGGCAGGCAGATCACAAGGTCAGGAGTTCGAAACCAGCATGACCAACATGGTGAAACCCCATCTCTACCAAAAACACAAAAATCAGCCGGGCGTGGTGGCATGTGCCTGTATTCCCTCAGGAGGCTGAGGCAGGAGAATCACTTGAACCCAGGAGGCGGAGCTTGCTGTGAGCTGAGATCACGACACTGCACTCCAGCCTGGGCAACAGAGCAAGACTCTATCTCAAAACAAAATAAAATAAAATTAAATTAAAATGAAAGTAATAGAGGCCAGTGTGATGACTCACACCTGTAATCCCAACACTTTAGGAAGCCGAGGCAGGTGGTTCACCTGAGGTCAGGAGTTAGAGGCCACCCTGGCCAACATGGTGAAAACCTGTCTCTACTAAAAATAAAAAAAATTAGCTGGCATGGTGGCATGTGCCTGTAGTCCCAGCCACTTGGGAGGCTGAGGTAGGAGAATCGCTTGAACCAGGGAGGTGGAGGTTGCCGTGAGCATTGCACTCCAGCCTAGGTGACAGAGCAAGACTATTCAGCCAGGTGCAGTGGCTCACACCTGAAATCCCAGCACTTTGGGAAGCCAAGGTGGGCGGATCATGAGGTCAAGAGTTTGAGACCAGCTGGCCAAAACGGTGAAACCCCATCTTTACTAAAAATACAAAAGTTAGCTGGGCATGCTAGCAGGCACCTGTAATCCCAGCTACTTGGGAGGCTGAGGCAGGAGAATCGTTTGAACTCGGGAGGCAGAGGCTGCAGTGAGCCAAGATCACACCATTGCACTCCATCCTGGGCAATAGGGAGAAACTCTGTCTTAGAAAAGAAAGAGAGAGACAGAGAGAGAGAGAGAGAGAGAGAGAGAGAGAGAGAGAGAGAGAGAGAAGAAAATTAAAATAATAAAAATAAGCTAGGAGTGTTGGCATGTGTCTGTAGTCCCAGCTCAGGAGGTTGAGGCAGGAGGATCACTTGAGCCCAGGAGTTGGAGGCTGCAGTGAGCTACACTCTCTTCACTGCACCCCAGCCTTGGCAACAGAACAAGACCCTAGCTATTTAAGGAGAGACAGAGAGAGAGAGAGAGAGAGAGAGAGAGAGAGAGAGAGAGAGAGAGAGAGAGGAGATGTTTAGGGAAGATGATGCTAATTTGTGCCTCTCGCTGGCACCAGGGTGTTTGTGATGCTGCTGGTCCTGGTCTCCATCCTCTGGATCCCTGTGGTCCAGGCCAGCCAGGGTGGCCAGCTCTTCATCTACATCCAGTCCATCAGCTCCTACCTGCAGCCGCCCGTGGCAGTGGTCTTCATCATGGGATGTTTCTGGAAGAGGACCAATGAAAAGGTAGCTCTGGACAGCTCCCACTATGCCAGAACCAAGTGCCGCCCCTTAAGGACTGGGATAGGATGGGAGGGGAGGGCGCTGAAGGATGACACAGGCTGGACTTGGGTGCTGACAGGGAGTTCCACGGTGGAAGATACAGGGAGGGTGTTTATCTGAACTTTGCAAAAAAAGCAATGAGAGGGCTGGTGCAGTGGCTCACACCTGGAGTCCCAGCACTTGGGGAGGCCAAGGTGGGCAGATCACTTGAGGTCAGGAGTTTGAGACTAGCCTGGCCAACATAGAGAAACCTCGTCTCTAGCAAAAATACAAAAATTAGCCAGGTATGGTGGTGTGTGCCTGTAATCCCAGCTGCTCCGAGGCTGAGGCAGGAGAATCA